TTGTAGTGCTTTGTTTGAGCAGGTTTGTGCCGTTTCGGCACAAACCTGCTCAAACAAAGCACTACAAAATTCAACTAGTTTGGTTCATTTTGGAGCGATGGTGACCACTGAATGACCCTTACAAATATCCTTTAATATAAAAAAACCATAACAGCACAAACGATTTCAAGTGCACAAACCCGCACAAACGAAGCACTAACTACTCATAATGTATTTTTTTTCCTGTGGTTCATTTTTTGGGAGGGGTCAGCTTCACTCATCTTTGTCTGCTTCCTGTTTGTAAAGTTTCAGAGTTAACGCTGGTTTGTCTCTTATCTGATGGAGAATGGTCTGYGACCATTATTTCTGAGAAAAGACTCCAGATTGAAACTGAAACATTGGCGGTGGTTCTGCTGAGTGAGTTCCACTCTTCACGTTGCTTCTRTTTGGAACAAGCGAACAAAAGATTACGAGACCAACTTGTGAGAGTTGTGGTGGACACCTCGAACCCTTCTCTTTCGTTTTTAGTAAATATGAAATAAACAGTTTATAGAGTACAGTTTATAAAACTAGGAGCCAAAGTATTTCTGATGAWAGACAGTTTTATACTGATTCAGCCCCAGGGGCATCTGTAGTCTTAMGTGGTTCCCAACCTATTTTCCTCAAAGCCCCCTTYAACGCCGATATCCTCACTTCACCCTTGTTATAAAAAACATAAGGATAGTTATTGTTGTTTATTTCCCACTGAAATACTCAGGGCTGGTTAAACTGTAAACATGATATAATTACATTTAGTATTTTTGAATATTCATACAAACTAGGGTTGGGCACAATCGTATCGTGTGCAATTAATCGTCAGAAAAACATTAATCTATTATTTTTTGGTACTTGATGATTAATACAGTTAATGCCACCATCAGTCCGCTCGCTGCTCCTTTCTGCTTCAAATATGATGAACATTAAAAAAATGTTCTGTAATTTATTTATTTATCAACACAATTTAAAATTTGATGTATAGCCTGAAGTCTGTAGTTTTGACACAGTTTGGAACAGATTTTTACGAAGAGCAAATCTTTCCCACTAAATTGGTCATGTGACCAGGACATAAAGGTGACATGGGGTTAACCGTCAAATTAATCGTTATCGGCTAAATACCACAATTAATCATGATTAATT